GGGGTGGGGGGTTTGGGGGGGGGGGTCATAGTGGTTTAAGTGGAGTTTGGTTGGTGGTAGTGATGTTCGATGGTGGTAGAGATGGTGGTTTTGGGGGTCACATTGGTTTGATTGAAGTTTGGGTGGTGGTGGAGTTGATGACGTTGATGGTTTTGTATGGTGTTGGGACAATGGTTGCGGGTGGTGGTAGTGCTGCTCATGGTCGTGATGTTTGGGTGATAGTGGCTCTGTTACCTAAGGGTATGTTGGATCTAGTGGTGGCGGAGGGTATGTTGGGTGCGATGGTCGTGGCAGCGATGGTAGTGGTCTGCAGCGATTACAATGAGATGGGATGGGTTAGGATGGTAGTGGTTTTAGCTGCGGCAGTTTTAGTGGCGAAGCAGTTGGTGAGGTGGTGGCCACGAGTGTTGGCGGTGGTCACGAGTGATTTGGTTAACTGTGAACATTAAATTGGTTAATCTGTGACCAATAAATAATATGTAACCAATAAAAACGGTAACTTGTGACCAAAAAATAATATATGACCTAAAACATTGTTAATTCGTGATTAATAATTTGATAATTTGTGACTATATAATAAATCGTAACTTATTATATTTTTGATTTGTGGCCAACTAATAAATTGTGACTTATAAATTTTTTGACTTGTGATCGATGAACAAATTGTGATCTATAAAATTTTTGAATTGTAACCGTAAAATAATTTGTGACATAACTTTTTTTTTTATATGTGATCGAAAAATAATATGTAACTTACTAAATCGTTAATTTGTGACCAAATTCATATATTTGAGACTTTAATATATTTAATTAATAAGTAAATTAATTAATTAATGAAATCATAAATAAATTTTAATAAAAATTTGATTTTGGAAGTTTGAAACTTATTTTCTTGATTTTTGAAATGTGTGATACTTATAAAATTTTTCCCTTTGAAATTTATCGGTTGGTAATTCTTTTCCCAATCCTCATTCATTCAAATTCATGTAGATATTCCAAGGACCATGGGTTGGACAGCTCCAGGGATTAGGTACGGGAGGGTCCAACATACTTTTGCCGTCTATTGGCCCGTCGTGACGATGGGCTCGAACAAGATGTTGGACTGGTTTCATTAAAATTTAGGGAAACAATTGACAAGTAACTTAAAAATTTTTTACTAATCTCTCTTTTTTTTTCTTTTTTTTTAATTCTTAAAATAGTGTTTATTATTATTTTAACATTTTCAACAAAATTTTGTAACACAATACGTTACATTTTATAATATTATTACGCGTTTCACCATTGTATTTTCACCATCGTCACTAATATGAGCATTAATAATACAACATGTTTATCCACACCTTACCTCCTATTTCCATCAAGATAGTGACAGTTGATGCCAACATCGTTGTTAACATTCGGTGTTACACAATCATCGATCACGACTCTACCACTTATAATAGCAATTATTACACTACTTTTGCCTATTCCCATACTTATTGTTACAACCAAACCACCATCGCTTCCGCCATGACCACAAACCTCCAAAGTATAAATCACCATGCCACCATAATATAGCACCACTTCTAAACCCTAAATCACCTTCATAGCCATCATCTTCAACCACCACCTACTCTTTGCATCCACAAAAACCACCGCAAAGAAACCAATATAAAACATAAAAAAGAAGAAAGTATCAAATTTAAAAATCGAATTCCCAAACCAGAATTTTTCATATCAAAATACCTAATTGCCCCGATATCTCATTCTCGATCCATGAATAGTGATTCATGTGACACATAATGACAATGAGCTAAAATTACGATCGCGATTTACAAATCTAGAGGCATCATAGTTACAACCTAAAAAATTAAGATTAGTAAGATGTGAGGCGTTGAGGCATTAATGGATAAATGATAGCCTTCTACATACGAGTGTTAAATGGAAAGTTTCTCTTGTCAGCTCGACTCATCCCAACAACGAGATGAGCAATTATTTGCAAGTCGAGTTGCCATATAGAGGTAAATATGCAAGTTTAATTAGAGAAAAAATAGTGACTTGTCCCTACTAAGGAACGAGCTTGTGCCTTGTGGGGTGAGGCAAGCTATACTTTTGTCGAGCGAGTCAGTACTTGACTGACTCATCAGACAATAGGCAAGATGAGAAGTTCGGCACATCCCATATAACACTCCATGCATTGTAAATAAATTTACATTTTTCCTTCCGTCCTTAAAAAATTTAAATTCCATAATTTGTCATTTTATTTATGCTGTGACTATAAAAGGAAACTAGTTAAGACGTTAATGTTACAAAATACCGCGAGTTCATTTATCTGATCGAAGTGATATTTAGTTCCCAAAATTCGACAAGCCTAATTTGGGATACCTAAAATTACTGAAAAGAATGTTGAAATAGAAAGAAAAGCTTGTTTGATACGGATTAAAATATGATTTTAATTTAAGCTAAAATTAAACAATTAATATTAACCACATCTTTCATGAGTCTCATAATTATCACACGTTTCAAAAACTTTTATCATAATCTATTAAGAATCTAATTTTAATCCTCACCAAAAGGGAAGAAAAATGTCACGTCTCTTTGTTTGAGCCCCCATTTTGAAAAGAGAATGTATTTTTGAATAATTAATTTTTGAAAAATGCGTGGTTATAAAGTAATAAAAATTTTTCGAGTTACGTGCCATATTATTTTATTGGAGAATGTTTAGTTAAAAATAATTTTCTTTAAAAATGAATTTTTGAAAAAAAGATCGTTCTATTTTGCTAGGGTCATTTGTATAAACGACCTTGGCAGAATAGCATTTTTGTTGAAAAAATGGGGTTTAAACAAAGGCATACGTGCGTGATGAAAATGTAATACACTTAAAAACTGAAGGATATTCTCGACAACTCAACTCTAAAACCTTAGAAAAAATTCCAACAAAAATAAAAATAAAAATGGAGAAATAGCAGCCTCGTCTATCGCCAAATCATTGAAATCAATCTCTCTCAAACTCTTTGCGCTTCTTCCCCAAATCTCGATTCTACTATCGGGTATTTGCACATTCAGAACATATATATATATAGAGATGTATTTGCTTTATATGTATGCCAAAAAATGGAAATTTTTGTCAAATTTCAATCAATTTCGTTCATTTATGTCCAAGCTTTTATTATGGTTTTTTGTATGCAAGTACATCTATTCGTTTATGATTCTGTATTTTTATTGTTTAATTGTTTGTGTTAATCTGTAAAGTTCAAAATTCTAACGAGTCTTGTTTATGCTCTGATCGTTGTTGCTTGAAATGATACAAAACTTAGAGTACTTGAATCGTGTTTAAAGGATGCTTATCAGCTGCAATTGAGAATACCTCTTGAACCAGTTATGCAAAAAGATATCATTTTGATTGAAAATTAATGTCTTAGTTAATTGAAAGATTTTGATTGGATGAATATGTATAGTTCAGTGATGATTCTAATGTTAACTGAGTCTTATGTTTTGTATCAGAATTTCTGTTTACTTCTGGAGTACTAAATCTTTTCCTGATAGACTATTTTGTGGCGCATTATTGAAACTGACATTTCAATGCGTTTCTCCAAATTTGGTGATAGTTGGGGTGCATAAGGTATATGTTATTTATTATTAGCTGAAGGGGCAAGTTAGTGAAGATTTGAATCTGGAGTCATAAATATGTACCGCCCTGGGGCTGCGACCACTACCCGAGGTGGATTACCAACAGATAGTGGAGATTCTGTTGTGACACTCGACCAAGTTCCCCGTTGGAGTGATGCGGAGTATAGAAACTTGTACGAGAATGAAGATCCTGCTTTCCAAAACTCACATTTTCCAGACCCGCTAGCATCTGTTTCTGAGGGAAGCAGTAGTGGAAATGGGATGGTTTCTAGATTTCCTGTGGACTACGAAATCAACTCGAAGCTATACCTTTGGAGGGGAAACCCGTGGAATCTTGAGGTGGATGCTGTAGTTAATTCGACAAATGAGGTGAGCAGTTAATTCGACAAATGCTGCACTGGGTTATATTTAATAGCATGAGTGCATTTATTGTGATGATTCTTTCCGTTACACTTTCTTAATGGAGCATTTGCATGTTTGTGCATGCATGCTTGTTCTCGTAACTTTGTTTTAGAGGGATCACGATTCCCTGCTTTATTTTAATACTCGTGTTTGTGAGAACCAGTGATATTATTGGATTGACCTTTTATTTATTGAAATGCAAGAATGTGTGCTGTTCTTGCCCTGATATTGTTTGTCCTTGTAGATGAGTGGTCTTAAATATATTTCGTGCCTCCTATGTAATGATAAATCCCTGAGCATGTTCCACATGGTTCATGAGGGATCGGTCTGTATTGCACCATACGTACTGTCCATTGGGTGTTGGGCCCCAGTGTGGATTTGTTTAGCGTCTCTAGCGGTTCAAACCCAAGACCAAGGGATACGTAAGTTGAATTTTGGTACTAATAGGTGTGGTGCAATAGTCGCTATATCCCACAGGGACCATGTCGGGGCTTGAGACGGAATCCGGTGGGCCATGGTTGGGGGACTATTCTTACATTCTTTACATTTTATATTTCACGGCTGGTGCGGCTTTAAAATCTATCCTATTATGCTAATTCGGAAACAGTATGAGTCTGCACTTTACTGGCCTGTGATCTTAATGTTCGTTAACTCTTACTTGACCAGAAGTAGTTAAATTTTTCCAAATAGGCTTCAAAATTGGGTTTTTACTTGTTGAACAAATGCGGCGTTAGTGCATCAAATTTGGAAAATGATCTAGAATGCTTGTCTTCTAGTGATCAAGAGAGTCTATGTTGATGCATGCTATCTGATTTTGACCGTTGTGATGAGCTAGATGCTTTTTCAATGAAATCAAATGCCACTGGAATCTGAATTTTATTTATTTATTTATTTAATTTATTTTTTTTATGTTTGGTGTTTGAAATTTTTTTTCCATAGTTAAGTTTTGCCCCTCCACCACTGCATGCAATACCTGCTTTTTGTTTATCCCAGTGAAATATTAGGGCCTGCTTGGTAGTTTTTTTTTTTTTGACCGGTTTTGGGGGGGGGCTCAGTTTATGAAGGGTTGGAAAAATCGGTGCTTGAGAGTTTTTTTGAACACCCATGTAGTGTAATTTTGTTCGTTTCTCTCAACCCACCAAATCGGCGGGTTTTGGTCATTTCTTAAATTTTCGCCCTTTACCCTCTATAAAATAATTATTAACAAATCTACCATAACTTATTCCAAAAAATAAAATAAAATAAAAAAATCTTAATACGCCATTCCTTCCAAAAATCTTAACTTATGCCAGTGATTTCCTGTGTTCAGAACAAGAACGTCAAATTTGTGAAGGAAATGGTGCAAAAATGCTGGGGGATGATTCCGAGGAAACTGAACCCTTCATTGAGCTTTTCAATTTTAGTTATGACAGTCATTTTTCTAATAAATCAAACAAACTGAAATTTCTTATCCGACCTTTCTTCTCAGTGAGAGTTGACGAACTTTTACTTTGCTTTGAACTTTTTGTTGCAACTACATCCTCTTCGTCTGGTTTTGAACTATTTTTTGCTTTTGACAGCTTCTCTGAGTATAAGAAGATATGCATGGATCATTTAAGGACTTCCTTTGGCATGCTATCATATGAAAATCACAAAAGTGAAGTCCAGAAACAATGTAGAGTAGATTCCTTTTTCTTTATATTAGATTTAAGATGAAAATAGAAGGTTGACCTTGCTGCAAAATAAGGAAAAAACGCAAAATTAGGTAGCCTATATTTTTCTGGATGATCATGAAATCAACTTAACATGGGTTGAAAAGAGGTAAACTAAAAGAAGAATATACCAACTAAGATTTATTGCAATCATATAACATGGGTATATATGTAATTTTATTTTTTAATACATCTTTCAGAACTGTTGGATAATAAACTCCCAAGCATGGGTTGGAGTGTTTTGAAAACTGCTATTGAAAACGACCCAACACCGATTCACTCATAAATGCCGAAAACCAGTACTTAAAAAACGCTCATAAACGCTACCCTGAAACTCCCAAGCAGGCCCTTGATTGTGCAAACATTGATCTGAATCATGTGATCCAGTTAAATACACTTTAGCTCTGAAGCCAATTTAGTTTCATTTTGACCAAGTGGGTGTTTGAGATCCTTCCACCCCCAATATTTTAATGCTTCAAACCAGATGTTTTGGAGATGGCTACTTCTCCTGAATATTCATGTTTTATGACAGAACTTAGATGAAGCACACGGCAGTCCTGGTTTGCATGCTGCAGCTGGACCTGGTCTTGCAGAAGAATGTGCTACATTAGTAAGCTACATAAACATGCTCACATTTTAGTTCTGCACCATTTGTATTCTGGAAGCATGTAACGTTTTTCGAAAGTATTAGTAATATGCATTTTGGTTATAAAGTTATGCAACTACTAGTTTACAATATTGCAGTAATTGACGAATTTGACCTGCTATTTCACTCCTTAAAATAGAAGACTTGGAAGTTTTATGTCCAAATCTGAACTAATGCTGCAAGTATGCCTCGTCTTTACAGGGTGGCTGCCGAACAGGGATGGCAAAAGTTACTAATGCGTATGACCTTCCTGCAAGGTGCGTAGATCAGTTGGTTCATTAAGTGCTATGCCCATGTCTATCTGTGGTTGCTTCATTACTTGTGTTTCGAGAGCCAATAAATATATGTTGAATGTTTTCAATGATAATATACTACTAACATTAATACATTATACATATTCTGATGAAGACTAATCATTGCAATCGTTAAGTTTGTTATTAATCATTTACATTCTTGGGGTTATTGATCAAGACCAGTTAGGTTGGATAGTTCTTCGAGTTATCTAACGACAGAAATTGGTTTTGTATCGATCTGAGACCTGTGCCATTAGTTATGTCTCTTTTGAGCACTGCACCAGATTGTATTTGGGTGCAGTGACCAACTAGGTTCTAAATTAAATGACCACCTTATAAGTTGATTTAAGTCCTGAAATTCTGACATGATGCATGTGTGTGTCACTGAATTTCAAATCTAGATTAATTTTCATTTCCATTTTGTGGATCAAATAAATTTTGGCTTTACTGCCACTGGTTGGAAATGAAACACCTAATTGGTTTTCATTAAATTCACCTCACTGCACTTTTGTAAAAGCTTGTCTAGTTATTTCTGTAAAACAAATATTTTTTTACAACTTCATCAGTCTAAACAATAGACCATGGTGAGGTCATAAATGTTCAAGGATGAATTATTAGTAACGCGTCGGCTTGCTAGAGAAGTTGGGGCATTAAACCTGAATATATTTGGCAAATGCTTATCATATGTCAAAGTTTTTACTCGTACTTTAGTGTTATTGTGATGTAGAAACTAAGAATATCGTTTCTGTTAGTTAAATCTGTGTGGGATTCAGTGAGAAAAAGAAACTGGTAGTGCACCTCTATTCACTTTCAATGAAGTATTCATGTCATAAGTTATCAGTTTGTAGCAATTGATAGGAGATTTTTTAAAATTAATGGATAGAGAAAGCTGGAACTTTTATCCTGATGCCTGTAATTTGTGTTTGTTTAATAACCCAGAAGCTAGGTATCATATGTAAAATTTTATTTGGACCCTGCATTACTCAGTTCAACATTCTTGGTTCGGAATGGGGAAGCTTTACTTCTAATCTCATTTGAATCTTTGAGAAACTTGACTCAAGTTGGATAAAAGTTTTAAAAAGACCTATTAACTTCTTTCTTTTTTGGAATGGAATTTAGTCCATCGTTAATTTATTTTTCTTTTGATGAGTGCAACGACACTTCAGCATTTCTTATCATTATGTAGTCGATAACATTTAAGTTAACACTGGTATTTCTTGTAATTTGCAGGAGGGTTATACATACTGTTGGTCCTAAGTATGCAGTAAAATATCATACTGCTGCAGAGAATGCTCTGAGCCACTGCTATCGGTCTTGCCTTGAACTTCTCATTGAAAATGGTCTGCAGAGGTGGTTTAATAGATACACTGTATCCATTTAAATAGTATTCTTCCCATGTCAATCTGTAGGAAATCTTGACTCAACACTCTTGTACAATACAAATGCAGCATTGCAATGGGGTGTATATATACTGAAGCCAAAAATTATCCTCGAGAACCCGCTGCTCATGTGGCAATAAGTAAGAACTTTTTTGTTATTTGTGCATTCAACTGACATTCTTTGTTTCTTAATTGATTTATACTTTCTTAAAGTTATATTTCATGTTTGTGTATCTGAATAGACCCCTCCATCTACCTGCATAAAGCTTTATCACTAGTTATAAATTTTTCTTAAGGTTTTCTTTTATGTCTAATTCATGTTTCTGGGCATGTACGTGATGATTTCCCATTTCCATTTTTCTTCCTTTCCTCAGGTCTAACTTTTATTTGATTTGGTAGGAACCGTAAGACGTTTCCTTGAGAAACAGAAAGACAAAATCCAAGCAGTTGTTTTTTGCATTGAAACAGCATCTGATACTGAGATATATAAAAGGTAAGTCAACTGACTTTACTGGGGATGTATGTGTTAAATATAACTCCAAAACAGTTTATGGTTTTGAGATTTGTTAGCTTTAATTATGAATAAAATAATTTGTTTTAAATTGGACAATCATTTATTACTTCTCTATATAGATTGCTTCCACTTTACTTTCCTCGGGATAAACTTGAGGAGGAGGTGGCTATTTCAAAACTTCCTGCAGATGTTGGAGATGAAAATGGTGAGACAGTCATAGATGAACGGAAAATCAGAATAAAGCCATTGCCCAATGTTAAGAAGGCTGGCCTGAGATTTTCCCAAGCCTCTGCTGATCTTCCAGCTGGTGATATTATTCCAGTCAGCGACGTTGCTTTGACGAGACGGTTAGTGACCTAAAATTCCTCTCCCACCTCTTCATTTTGTATCATTAATTGGTCCGAGCAATGCAGAAGTTATAGTTTAACCGTCATTGGTCCTGCCCCAATTCGTTTGTGAAACTGTCCACATATGGCTTTGTTCTAAATTTGAATGTGGTCTGGCATCAAGAAAGAAACCAAAAATGGGATTGCATGGCATTCGGTAGAACATTTGCATTTTTCCTACTCTGTAAGTACCAAGTGATGCCCAGTCTTCAGATACCATTGCGGTTATTTTATGTGCCTCCCTTTCATTTATTGTTCATGAGCATATTTTCATCTTTTCTGAGAAATTACTCATTTGGCATAAGTGAAACTTATCTTATTTTGTGACTGGCCACCATCCTTTGAGATGGATACAAGTAAGAATTTTCAGTGGAATGTAAAAGATATATCGGGATTCATGGAGGCAAATTTGTTGATGGAGTTTGAATGAACCCAGCCTGCATCTAACCCAGCTTGCCTCTCTCTCTCCCTCCCCCTCTGCGTGTGTAGTTCAGAGTGATTTCCTATGGGCCTTGCTAACATTTCGTATCAAAACAACACTGAAGTTTCCTTGTTTCATGACACTGAATTCAACCTGATGTTGCGTTCTTATTTCATTCATTGTGTAATGCATAATTTATCTATTTCTCGGTGATTAAGTTTCCAAATTCCACATGTTCAATTGTCAATTGTAGAGCTCTGGTGTAGAAGCTTCTCTTTGTTTATACATATTATGAAATCCACTGATAGTTGGAATGACCTTACTGTTTTTCTCATTCAGCAGGAACTCATCATACTTGGATGCATATCTTGATCCTGCATTTATGTCCCTTATCAAAGATCCAGATCAGCGACGCAAAGAACGTTGGGAAAAGGCTGCGCAAGCACGAAATAGTTGGAATTTTGCTAAAATGCTTGGATATGGTGACCTTGGGGGCCCTCCTCTATCTGCTGCTGAAGAATATTCGCTTCATTCACGATATCTAGCTAAAGCAAATTCACTTAATCTTTCTGAAATTGCTGAAATGAAAATTATGTAAGCCAGCTATGTACTCTGTTTGTGTTTTGTAAGCAATGAACTTAATTTTTCCCTTGTTTCCTCGATGCATTGAGTCCAATATCTTCTTAAAACTTGTACTTTTTATCCTTAAACATATAATTTTTGACTCCTGCAGTCTCTGACTTCCATCTTTGTCACCATCATATGGCACAATTTGCTAATTGTAAAATATTAAACTAGATGCCGATTTTATCTTCAATGTGCTAATCAGTTTTGCTGATATGAAGTTTTTGAAGGAAACTATTTTTAATACTTGTGGTCTATTTTTGTGCTGAGAATGTGATTTTTTATGTGCTATATCTTATTGTTACTTTAGGATACAGGTAACTGGCTAAACTCAGATATGTGTAGCAAAATCTTGTAGAGCTTGTAGGCTGCTTTTCTTTTCTTCCTAAGTTACGGAATTTTCATGAAGCCCTCCACTCGTGTAAATCTGCAACACTTGCGAAGTTTAATCACTTTTGTGGGGCTGCTTGAGGACTGCTTCATGATTCTAAAAATAGGTGGATTTTCCGTAGTAATCTTGGAGAAGATTGCCTTCTGCACTTGAACTTTGTCGTCCAAAAGTTTGAAATATTTTCTTCATTTCTGTTTGTTTTTTTATGAATAAGCAACAGTAAATTAATTGTATTATTTTCTTCATTTCTGTTTGTTTTTTTATGAATAAGCAACAGTAAATTAATTGTATTGATTTCCAAATACCACTTATTTCTGTTTCAGCTACCGAGGTGGGGTTGACAGTAAAGGTCGTCCAGTGATGGTGGTTGTGGGAGCACATTTTCTGCTTAGATGTCTTGATCTAGAGCGTTTTGTGCTGTATGCAGTAAAGGTGAATGCAATAAATTTTTCATAATTTCAATGTATGTACTGCTTATGCTGTTTAATGCTTCATGGCCTTCCTCCCGTTTTTAGTTGAACCTGTACTCATGCTATTGCAGCAGATAATTATATTTAGTATTGCATTTTCAGGAGTTTGAGCCCTTGATACAGAAGCCGTATTCTATTGTCTATTTCCACTCCGCAGCATCATTACAGGCGTGAGTTAATTTTCCTCGCTATCTTTTGCCCTTAACATCATTTTCCCTATTCTGGTCATTGGTTATTTGATCTAAAAACCAATAATTTTTCTCTAATTCATTTGTGCAATCTGGAAAAAGACTTTTAAGTTAAAAGAAAGATGGATGAATTTTTGTGCTGTTATGGCTGGCACTAAATAAAGTTTTTTGACTCACCCTCCATAATTTAGTCTGTTTTTAACAGATGGTACATGTTTGGCTTAGCTTAAAAAGAAGTTACATTAAGTAACGTTTTTGTTTGCAAACATGGTTGGATAAGTTAATTTTTTCAAAAAGTAAATCTTCCTTGCTGTCTAATCAGTAACTTGATTATTTAAGCTTTTAAACAAAATTAAAACTTACTGCTGTGAAACAGATTTGTTTACTTGTAAGCAAATTTGTAAGTAAAATTTTTGTGCTTACCAGAGATGCTTTGGGTGTGAAGATTCTTACCAGATATTATCAAGTTTGGCTCCACTTATATTTCTGATTTGTGTAACAGGCGACCAGATCTGGGATGGATGAAGAGATTACAGCAAATACTTGGCCGAAAACACCAGCACAATTTGCATGTATGCCGTGCAAGATTCTTCCTACAACCACCACAATATGGCCTATTATCTGTGCTGTTACGCATCTTTTGTTAATTACTCTCTCTTTTCATCTTGTAGGCTATTTATGTACTCCATCCAACCTTTGGTCTGAAATCTGCAATTCTTGCACTGCAAATGTTTGTGGATGATGTGGTATGACCGATCCCAGTAAAAAAATATAGCAAATCTAAATTTTGAGTAACTTTGTGTCTTTCTCCATAGCTTATTGAACTTTTGATAACTGATTTTAGGTGTGGAAGAAGGTGATATACGTTGATCGTCTTCTACAACTATTCAAATATGTCCCCCGTGAGCAATTAACTATTCCAGATTTTGTCTTCCAGTTGAGTTTTCACACTTCTGATTAATCGTTTTTATTGTTTGTTTTAATAATGTACGCAATTTGTATTGCCATTAGGCAGTGAGGATTTACAATGGCCATGTTTGTTACTAGCAGCTGATATGACCTTTGCTGTTTCCGTGCTCGTCCCTATGAATTCATACAGTGGCATGATATCAAATTTCGTCTCCTGAAAATTGGAAAGCCCTTTTAACTTATCCCTAAATAACATTGATGCAGGCATGATTTAGAAGTAAATGGAGGGAAGGGCCTTATTGTCGATCCAAGGACAAAATATGTCTATCGAAGACCATAAATATGAAAGCAGTTGTCTGAAATTCAGCTTTTCTGCCCAGAAACCGAGTATGTGGTTAGCACTGTTCTTTTCGTGCATTTCATTTACTGTTAACAGGATCAGGTTGTAATTGGTTTTTATTGTGTATTATTCTCCATCTTTTCCTGTGTTTGAAGGATGTTCTTGGATTTGTGATGTATGATGGAAATATATTTCTTATTTTTCATTTATTGATATTTGTTGTATGTATCGTTGTCGACACTAAGCTATTAGTAATTTAGTATTTTTCTGGTATTTTTGTGCAAACGATCCCTAATATATGGCGTCTGTGTAATCTCAGTCCCTGTTCTTTATTATTATTATTTTGTTTTTTTGCACTGGTGTCCTTAACATATTGTTGTAGTGCATAATTTGTTCTTCTAGATGATTTTCATCCAATATCATAGTTTTGTGCGTAATCGTCCCTTGTCCTATTTTATTATTTCCTGCCAATGTATGCATGGAGGCTATGCTGGTACATGTATATATATATCTATACAAATATCGGTGCTTGTCGGGTGTTGGATCCGTCGGAATTTTTTTTTTTTTTGTCTTATATTAGGCGGCTGCTCGAGCGTCTGTCTATGCTCACCTCTCATCCTGGATCTGCTAGTGATTACAACCATTTTTCCATTTCATGTAGTTTGGAGAATGTTATTTTTGGACGATGAGATACTCGAAGTTTCATTTTAGGTACATGCGAGTTCGTTCATGGATGAAAATCATTATTTTGCTGTCGACCATGCATTTGTTGCTGGTGCAGACACTTTTTTAGGGGCAATTTCTTCAACCCGGCAACACCATCTCTCTCTCACAACTGTGGGAAATCTCTACATTTGTTCAACTGTCCTTGCAAATTAGCTGAACTGTCACCTGCTGCATCCATACAAAGAATACTTGGAAAATTGTGGATCTTTTCAAAGGTTTCTTGAGTAAAATGGGTTTTCTTGATTTCTAATGTTTTTTGCATATGGTGATTGATTATTTACAAAACTAGTTTACATAAACTTGTAAACTAAGAATAATGCTACTCAACTCCGTTGGGGTTATATCTACAGTCTATGAAAGGTGAAATTAAATGACTTATTTTATTTGATTTATCATTTAATGACACATTAGCACCATATAGACTCGGATTATGATCTCGGCTAAATAGTATTACTCATAAACTACTACATACTAAAAATAAATACAAGCAGCAAAAGGAGAAAGAAAAAATAAAATTCATTGTTTACAAATATTGTTATAAAATAATTTTTTTTTTTATCATTTCACTTTTTTGAAGAAAAAAACTGTGTTTGTTTTGGTTAATTTAATTTGGTCCGACAATTTACGTTTCTCAAATTCCATTCATTGCACTTGGTTTGCTATTATGAAAATGTTTAATGGATGCATTCTGTATTAGAGGGAGGGACCCATTTTGTTGGGGTTCTTATTATTTGAGTGTAACTCTACACTCCATTTTTTAAATAAATAAAACCAATTTACATTATAATCCTAATGCTGCCCCATACACGATGCGTGTCCGCTGGATGTTGACTCCTCTTTGAACGTATTTAAATATAATTTTGTCTTCTAACAGTTGTCGAGAAGGGTCTTGGCAGCTTGACCTAGATTCCACATGTTTAAAAATGCAAGTCACGTTAGGTATAATATTTACGAGTTTGGGATATGAGGCCGTTGACCTCGAAAATTGGTCCTTTCACGTGGCCAACTGAAAGCTACTACACGTGTTTTTTTTTGTGCACAATCAACGAATAGTCAGACGCACATGGTCGAAACTAGCCGGAATGGTGTCGGCCGTATACACTCCGACGGTCAAGTCAAGTTCAGTGGTCGGAACAGTACCCAGGGGTTATACAAATCAATGATAAAGGGGGAGGGGAAAATATATAAGCTTGCTATGGAGTACTATGTAATAAGAGTTTCATTACCTTTACCTCTTGCCAAACCTTGGGTATTTATAGGTGGTATGAACCGTTGGATGTAGGTCGCGTGTATACATCTGACGGTATGAGGTGTCCGCTCATAGGGGTCAATCAGCCGTGTCTGTAGAGTGGGCGGACAGTTTGTTTCTTCTGAGTTGAATTGACATAAAGTTGATAAGTTATATCAACTAACCCCATGGAGACGTCAAATCAATTTAAACCTTAGGTGCAGGAAGGATCTTGGCACAAATCTCTTTCTGAAATTGACGGCAGATTTTCTAATCGGGGTCCACTTGACCTCGACTTCTGGGGGACGAGGTGCTTCGATAGGTCAGTAGTAGGAATCGCTATATCATTTCGAAAACACTTCGATCGGGTCGTTATGTGTTGCTGTACGTTCCGAGACGTATAAGATTGGAGCGTAACATAGGCGATGTTTTTCGTGCATATTTGGCAAAACTTAAATTACGATTAAAATTGATGAAAAAAAAAATTTCTTACTTTAACTATAACAAGAAGCAAGGGAATGAAAGACAAGAGGCATTAAATTTATTATTTTAAAAAAATTATCATTTAACAAGTTTGAAAGAATGAGGTGGTCAATCAAATTATTTAGAAGCAATATTTTTTTAATTAATTTTATATTTATGAGCTGGTGGAATGGTCTGATAAACAATGGGAGAGAAGATTCCAGCTTAACTCGTCGCCACGGGACACGTGTCAAGCAAAGGCGTGGTCAAGATAGCTATTTTTTCTGACTCGTTAAATTCAGTCCACGTTCATCAACGTGCACTATAATTGGCAAACGTTAATCCACATTTCACTGTCCAGAATTTCTGTTTAGAAACACGTTTGTATCATTACATTTATATCTCAAATAATTGCATTCGTTTTCTCAAATTAATATAAATTATTTTTAATTATGAATAATATTATTTAGCATCAATTATGCTAAATCGCCAATTTAAATGATAAGCACAATGAAAGATAACATTAAATTATTTATTTTATTATGCATCTTATTTAATATCATATTAGTACCATTTAGACGGATTGTTTTAACATTGATGATGCTAAGTACCATTACTCTTCTTATTATTGCTCATCTATTCATTGTAATTAAAATAAAATAAAAAATTATGGTGTAAAAATGAGATTAAATATTTGATCAGACGACCTTCATTTCAAAACATGTTAACAATATTTTTGGATGAAAATATGATTAAGTACACTATTTTTTATCAATGAAATATTAAAAATAAGAATTTGATTTAGAAAAAATTAAAAATATAAGTGTAATAAAGAATAAAGGTTAATTAGTGTAATTGAAATATGATGTGAATATCAAACGCAACCGGTAATATAAATGACCGGCTAATCCAGTTAGGCGGTTACCAGTGAATGTGAATATCCACATTCTCGACTCCTTCCAAGTTCTCTCTTCATTCCCAGCCCCATATAAATACCCCCTTTTCGTCGCCTAAACTTTCTCATCTGCCCTTTGTTTTTCTTGCAAGTACTAGCAATACCCTTCGGCTTATATATATATATGTCCGCTGCCGGCGACCTGGAATCTGAGAGCCTCCTCTCCTCCGCCTCTCCAGGCTTCCCCTGCCTCCATTTCTTCCGCTACCGCCCCCTCAGGTAATTAATTACTATACGCCGGAACATATACATATAAATTTCCAAATGCCGTCGCCGAAGATTAATCGGAAAGGAAGCAACGAGAAGAACAAGAAGGGAAGGTTATCTGAAAAGGCATCGTCGTTTCATGAGAAAAACGGCGGTGTAGTGGCGGAGATGCTACCGAGGCCAAGAACGGTGCCGGAGTTGTTGGTTAGGAAAAATGATATTGTGAGTTCAACTGAATTGGTGTTGGCGCAGGGAAAGCCGGCGCTGACGAAGCTGCTTCTTAATGTGACGATACAGAGGAGCCTTGGAGCCGTACAGGTGTTGATGTCGCCGGATGCAACCGTGGATCACTTGATTACGGCGGCTCTCCGGCAGTATGCAAAGGAAGGCCGGCGGCCTATTATCTCCTCCGCCGATTCATCTGGCTTCGATCTCCATTATTCACAGTTTAGCTTAGAAAGTAATGATTCTCTCGCTGTTTTTATTTACAGCCGTAGGATTTTCAATTTGTCTCTGAACCGCTTGATTTATGATTTGTTTCAACGAAAATGTCAACCATAAATTAGATTTAGGAAAATGCTATGTATACTTCTCATCATGAAGTACACATTACTCACATGGAGGGGTTCATGATTATTTTATTGTACGTGAATTCCCTCTATATGAGAATGTGTACAGTAGCATTATCCTTAAATTTATTATTGAAAATGAATGCCGTTTGTGAAGTTTTTTTAATCAAATGAAGAGTAATATAAATTTATAATATTAATCTACTGCGTTCTGGACACTTCTGGACACCTTTTTTCACACAAAGGGGGGCAGCCGGGATTCACTTTTTCTTCTCTCAAAAATCACACAATCATCATCAGATAGTGGCTAGGGTTATAACCAAATATATACTTCAGGGTCAGGCTTTAAGTTGGACCATTAAAGGGGTAAACGGACCAAAATTCAAGCCATCCATAAGAGAATACAATTGGGTCGGGTGTAGCTTATGCACTTGGTTGTTGGACTTATTTCATTCATCAGTCTATGCCTATGAAATAATATTAACCCACGTTAACATCATAGCCCGGGATTTATTGGGTATCAAAAACCCAACAACCACAAAAAACAAAAGCAAAGAAATTCACGAGCAATTAATTTTATATCATTCAAGTATTTCCATACCACATATATTGCTTTCTATATTAGAATTTATTGAATGAGAAACAATGTATTAAACTCCATGAAGGAGAAGATGAATTACACTCCATGAAAGGAGGAAATGAACAGCTCCATAAAAGGAGGAAGACACTCCATAATAGGAGGAAATGAAATCTCCATGGAAGGAGGGATTGGAGACTACAATCCAATCAATTAAAAAATGTGTACAAACTCTAGTAGTTATAGAGAAAATAACTAGCTAATTAGGAAGTCTCTAGAATCTACTGATGTGGATTTTACATTCTAACATTATGCTCGGGGGTGGGGGTGGGGGGGTCAAAATACCTCCTTTCTTAGAATCAATTATAAAGGACAATAGCCATATTTTATTTTATTTTTGCCAGAATTTTTGACTAAATATGGTAAACTTTAGTTATTTTCAACTTTGATTTACCCCAAAAAAAAAATTTCCCCCAAAAAAAAAAAAAAAAAAGGAAGAGGAGGTTGGTAACAACGAGTTCGATGTTAACTCAACTTTTTCTTGATTTGTTTGACAATTTCAATTAGTAGATAATTTTTTCATGATTCGTTTGATGATTTTTTAATTGGTTGTAATAATTATGTTTCGATAAAAGAAGTGGGAAAAAAAAAAAAAGACGTTTATAATTATGCCAATAGGCAGCTGCTTGAGTTTCATTTTAGCATTATGTGTACGTTTCGATAGTCGGTGGGCCGACAGAGGGATATTCATATTTTGTGGAGGAAAATTCCTTAATAGATGAGAGGAATCAGTAGTTCCCTTTGGAGATAAGATCTGGATATAAATTATTATAAAGAAAAACTCACAAGCCCGAAAGATAATAATATTTTGCTGATGACATAAAGATTATGCCTCCGTTTGAAAGAATTTATAAACGACTTAATCAATAAATAGATAAAAATAAGTAATTGTTACGCCTCTATCTAAACCGTCTCGAAATGCCCACCACCACACAATCTGATCTGATAGACACACATCCGAAGTGTTTTCGAAGTGATCTCACCAATGTTAACGACCTGATAACACGCTGCAAAACATAGGCGATCCTGCTGAACTGACCGAAGCGCCCTCGCCCCTGAGACCGAGGAGAAGTGGACCTCTGTCAGAAGATCCTCCGCCAATTTCAGAAAGAGATTTTTGCCAAGATCTTCTCTGCACCTAAGGTTTAAATTGATTTGACGTCTCCATGAAACTAATTGATGTGACTTATCAACTTTATGTCAACTCAACTCGGGAGAAACAAACTGTCCGCCCACTTTACAGACGTGGCTGATTGACGCCTATGAGCGGACGCCTCATATCATCAGATGTATATACGTGTCCCACATCCAATGGTGTATCCCACCTATAAATACCCAATATTTGGCGAGAGGCAAAAGTAATGAAACTCTTACTACATAGTACTCCATAGCAAGTTTATATATTTTCTCCTCCCACTTAGTGTTTTTGACACAACCTCTGGGTACTGTTCCGACCACCCGAACCAGATTTGACCGTCGGAGTGTATACGGTCGCCACCACCCAAATTGGTCCCGGTCGTGTGCGTCTGACCGTACGTTGATTGTGCGCAGGGAGGAATACGTGGAGTAGCTATCGATTGGCCACGTAAAAGGTCCAATTTTCAAGGTCAACAGATTGGCGCCATCTGTGGGAAACGCTTCCCGTTCAAAGTTCTGCATTTTCCACTGGAAAGTTACCAGAAAACTAGCGACTAACCCTGAAAAGGGCACGTTCTTGAAAAAGAACAAAGTCGAGTTACAATCCAAGTTCTCACCACCCTTGAAAAAGGAGATAGGATGAGCTATAACTATGAAGATGACAATTCCATGAGAGAAGCCTCTGAAGAAGAGGTGCTCCATAACAATGTTACTCATCAAAGACCCCATCACCGGCGTCGCTGAGGTGGAAGAATAACCATGCTCACTGAAGGAATGACTCAAATAGTTGCAGGTATGAGAGATATCGCAGCTTAGAATATGGCAATGCATGAACTCCTCATGCAAGCCCGATGTCACCCAGGCTCTCAAATGCTCCAAGGATCTTACCCAGTGCAGGAAGTCCCAGTATCTCGTTCCCGATGCCACACCAGTCAGCACAGAGAACGCCCTCTCGAAAGATAAGTGGGTGCCGATGCCACATCTTATGTGCAAGGGAGCCAGCCATTAGAATCCCACTTGGGGGATAACTTCCCTCAAGAATATGAAGAATAGGGATTCGTAAGCGTTTTCGAACGGATAGGGGAGGATCCTAGCAATAGGGTCCGCCCAGTGAGAAGATCAGTTCGGCAGTATCAGGAACAAGAACAGGCCCCTCCTCCTCCTAAAAATAGGAGGGACAGGAGGAACCTAGTTGATTGGGGGAGTCGAGGAGGGGCACATCCACCTCCCCAAAACATTCAAGATGATGAAGGGTCAGATGGGCCCTTTCGATCTTATGAGATTGACGACGACGATGATAACCTCCCTTTCTTAAGGGAGATTCGAAGCTTCTCAATGCCAGCAAATTTCATGCCCCCTAAGATCCCCAAGTATGAAGGAAAGGGGGACCCGAAGAAGTACCTCACCAAGTACATGACACAGATGAGCCTAAGGGGAGCCTCGCCCGCTTTGAAATGAAGAGCCTTCCATTTAACACTAGACGGTGCCGCCGAAGTGTGGTACAGCAGGCTTCCTCCCCTAAGCATTAGAAGTTGGCCAGATTTGAAAAAAGTATTCTTGAATCAATACCTCTCACGCAGAGAAAGAGAGGCACCAGTGCAACGCCTGCAAGATATGAGACAGGCCTCTAGGGAGACGCTGGAAAGCTATCTCTCTAGGTTTACAGACGAAATCACCTACTGTGAACAAGTCACTGACAGAGAAGCTCTTTTAGCCCTGAAAGACGGGCTCAACATGAACACTTTGTTCTGGAGGGACGTGTACAGCAAGAATCCTTCCACCTATGACGAACTGGTGGAAATGATGAGAGCGGAAATTATGAGTGAAAAAATGATCGATCACCGAAACCGTGCCATGTAGGGACTCCCTCCGCCTCAGAGGCAGGTAGGTCGAGGACCCACAGCACACCTTGTTACTCAGAAATGGACTCAGGCAGGTCACATAATAGCTCCCACCTCCGGACAGACACTGGCTTCTGCCACACTAAATGCAGTGCCGGTATTAGCATGTGAAAATGCTCCTGGTGAAGCAGGGCCATCTGAAAGAACCGATAGCAAGAAAAAGAAAAAGAAACGATCAAACAAGCCCTTGGAAGGAGCAATGTTTTGCACTTTCCATCAACTGTATAGGCACGACACCAATGAATGCAGAGATGCTCCTCGACGCTCAGATCGGATCGACCCACATCTCTCCAGGAGGAATGACTATCCTCGCAGATCTGTCTCCCCGAACAGGGGAGATCGAAGGCACAGAGAGCAGTCACCCCAGAGAAGAGAATCTCGGGACCGAGGAGAGTCCAGACAGAGAGATCAGGCCCCATTTGCTGGGGGCCAAGTCATCAGGGAAATCGACACTATCATTGGGGAACCTCACGTCGGCGGCAACACAAGGAATGCCCAAAGGAATTATACAAGGGAAGCGAAGGACCCACCAATGATCACTTACATTGTGAACGAGTCTCAAGAGGCCAACAGGATGGCCCCAATTACATTCTCCTAGGAAGATGCTCAGGGAGTTCACCATCCCTATTGCGACGCACTGGTTGTGAGAGCCGTAGTGGTCAGAAACGAGCTCAAATGCATGCTCGTCGACAGTGGAAGTTCGGTGAACATATTATTCAGCTCCACCTTTGACAAAATACAGATTGAACATGGGTTGATCCCCATGGCCGACCCACTATTTGGATTCACTGGAGACAGTATCGTTCCATGAGGGCGGATCACTCTGCTCGTCAAGATGGGTTCAGCACCCCTAGTGGCCCAACACTTTATGGAATTCTTAGTGGTGGACCACAGATCGACCTATCATGGGGTATTGGGCAGACCCGCATTGAAAGATCTTTGGGCCGTCACATTCATCCACTACTTGTGCATGAAATTCCCAACTGAACATGGGATTGCGAAGGTTTGAGGCGATCAGATGGGCTCCAGGGCATGCTACTTGAACTCATGCTAAAGTCAGAGCCCCGAACTGTTAATGTAATCATAACTGAAGTTCCCACTGAAGCCAGTACAGACGTGGAAATGCTTGACGCCCCTGAGCAAGGGCATACCTTTGAGCAAGAGGAAGATGTCGATATGGAAGAGACCCCTGAACAAGGGCACCCTTTGATGAGTTAGATCTCCGAATAATTGACTATGAACTAAATGCGACCCCAATGGAAGAATTGGAGACTTTCTCCGCCAACCCAGAAGACCCCAGTCAGGTCTTGCGTATAGGGAAGGCATTGTCCCCTGAAACAAAAGTAGAGATGATAAGCTTTCTGAAAAGGAACTTGGATGTCTTCGCATGGAAGTATGAAGATATGGTGGGAATAGATCCGAGAATCAGTTGCCATCACCTTAACATCAACCCCTCTTGTGCCCCCCATAGACAGAAGAGA